TCGGATTGAGGAATCAGAGAGCCGGGTTCGGATTAAGGAATCGGATAGCCGAGTTCGGATTGAGGAATCAGAGAGCCTAATTGGGATTGGGGAATCAGAGCGCCGATTTCGGATTAAGGAATGGGAGAACCGATTTCGGATTGAGGAATCAGAGAGCCGGGTTCGGATTAAGGAATCGGATAGCCGGGTTCGGATTGAGGAATCGGAGAGCCTAATTGGGATTGGGGAATCAGAGCGACGATTTCGGATTGAGGAATGGGAGAGCCGATTTCGGATTGAGGAATCAGAGAGCCGGGTTCGGATTGAGGAATCGGAGAGCCGATTTTGGATTGAGGAATCAGAGAGCCGGGTTCGATTAAGGAATCGGATAGCCGAGTTCGGATTGAGGAATCAGAGAGCCTAATTGGGATTGGGGAATCAGAGCGCCGATTTCGGATTAAGGAATGGGGGAACCGATTTCGGATTGAGGAATCAGAGAGCCGGGTTCGGATTAAGGAATCGGATAGCCGGGTTCGGATTGAGGAATCGGAGAGCCTAATTGGGATTGGGGAATCAGAGCGCCGATTTCGGATTGAGGAATGGAAGAGCCGGTTTCGGATTGAGGAACCAGAGAGCCGGGTTCGGATTGAGGAATCGGAGAGCCGAGTTCGGATTGAGGAATCGGAAAGCCTAATTGGGATTGGGGAATCAGAGCGCCGATTTTGGTTTGAGGATTCGTGGAGCCGTGCTCGGCTTGAGTAATCGGAGAGCCGTGTTCGGATTGCAGAATTAGAGAGCCGAGTTGAGTTCATTATATTCACTTATGTGCTAATAGATTTGGGAAATGTTTAAATCCATCTCTTCTTCACACCGCCTGGGTAAATAGCAGGCTGGGTACTATAGCAGCCGTTTTAAGTGAAGAATAACTCTTAATTCAGATCAGCCTGGAAAGTGTTGGGCTCTGTCAGGCTATCTTGCATACCATTTCTATTGCAGTATTTTTGGTACCCCTTTTTCTCGAGGCATTAACAAGTAACGGTTATCGTCGCGGAAAATGGAATGGATGAGCCAAATTCAAATCTTGGCCTAGGCAGTCGGTGTTCACTTTTTATACAAATGCCATTAAGTACGGCACGAATCCACCTCTTGTTGCCCCAGCTATGGATTAAATAGTAGAGTCGATTAGACCCTCTATCACTGGGTGACCACCCGAGGCTCGCTTTGTCATGCACACAGGAGTAAACCATCTGCGTTCCCTTCGTATTCCACTGGTAAGAAGGAAATTACATTCAGACAGCTTCCTCCCCCAAAACAGACTCCCGAGAGGATGCTTCCCCGACCTCTGCAATCTTAAACTCTTCGTGTAGGGTTAACTTTTGTCTATCTTAATAACCTACAATTCTTACCCCTGTAATCAAAACCTAATTCAATAACCCTTTATCTTGAGTGACTTTGAGGCGTTGTATTGGGTGAACATAAAACGAAAAAGAAAATCTAAGAGGAAGAAAACCGTGGAAAAAGCAACGGAAGACCAATATCTTTCCCAAGAAGGTATATGTGGAGGAGAAAAGGAAGAAGAAAAACTGAATTCAATACCATAGAGAAGGCAAAAGGAAACCGCCCCATTATCTTTCCAGAAAGAGGCATGTCAATTCACATATAATAAAAAAAGGAAACTGTGGAGAAACATGACTGCATATACCCTAAAGTAAGAATGGAAACGGCAAAGTGAAACCTCTCCCCTATCTTCCCCAGGAAATTATGGCATTTTACAGATAATAAGGAAAAGGAATCTGTGGAGAGCTTTTGTGATGTCAACGAACACTCGTTGCCACTTTTGGTAATGTCAACGAATACTCGCTGTCACTTTGGTAATGCTCTTTGTAGTAGAGACTTTGTAATCGCAGATACAACTATAGTAGGCCGTTGAACAATACTGGTGTCAGACGCTTTCGAATAGCACTCGCACTAATAGTACTTGCTCAATAATACTCGCTCGAATAGTAATCACCGTATTGATCAGAATAGGGAATAGTGTAGAGAAGAGAATAGAGAATAGCGGTCCGTATAGTAACAGAGGATAGACTAGAAATGTCGATCCGAATAGTATAGAGGATAGACTAGAAATTGCGATCATTAGTCATCAGCTACTTCCTACATATATGCGTTTCCTCTATGGTTACGTGGTCTACTTAATTCAATAATGGAATCTCCTGTGTTTACTCTCTGGTGTTCAAACTCAAGTGTAGGCAGCTACACTTAATTCCTATATAAGAAGAGCATTAGCTGCATGCATCTTAACGGAAGAAGGAAAACTGGATTCAAAAATCATAGAAGAGGCAAGGGAAACCACTCCTCTATCTCTCCCAAGAAGTCATGGCAATTCACAGATAATAAAGAAAAAAGTATCCGTGGAGAATTATGATCAGCTACGTCCTGAAGGAAGGTGGCATTTAAAAAAAGAAAAAGAATTACTGTTAAGTACCCATTACATCCAATCACTTTAGCCTCTCCCCCATTCCCACTGCAAACAATTAACCCTTTGCCAATGACCCTTGATGGCAACCGAAAACCGTTTTCCTCCGACGATTGTCATCACTTCCGACATTAATTTCTAAACGTGTCCCTCTGTTTACCGGAAAACCAAGCTGCCGTTCTGATCGCGGGTGGTCAATAATCACAGACAAGTGGTCAAGTAGCGTTTTTAGGAATCGCAGACAGTAAGTTGAGAAAAAGAGGGTTAACATCAGTATCGTGTTACGGACAGGCTAGGGCACTCAAGTTTTTTTTTTTTTTTTGATCCCTAACCCTAAAGCAGAAACCTCTATTCATCTGTTTTCCCCTCCCAGATATACCGAATGTCAAAAATGTGGTTCAAGATCAGTGATTTAGGGTGGAAAATCCGTATTCCCTACTGATGTCGCTAGTACACACACGACTCTCGATCGCGTTTTTTGAGCTGGATTTCATAGATATTGTTCGTGGTCCTCCCCCACTTCAAAGATGGACATGTTTAAAGTTTCTATCCTCTCTGGGTCTTGAATAAGTGCTTGAGTGAAATAAGCTGGGGCCTGGTCATTTTAATCTGGAAACTAATAATCGGTGGCAAGTGAAACGTCTAAGAAGGGAGTGTTCATTTAGAATTTCTTATTATTCTTCGATGTGCCGTGTCCTTCCAGGCCATGGTCGAACATGGCACTTCACATCGTCCTATTCTTCGTTCATCTTAGCAATGTTTACTTTTTTTTATCACCCATTTACAATAGTTCATTAGGTAGGTTTCTCGCTGTTTTTCTCTGTTCCTCTTGCCTTCCATATATCCTGTTAGTGCTAAACCTTCTCAGCCATTTTTTTTCTCATTATGCATCCTCGTAATTTCAGTTGTAAGTTTCTGAATTTTTTGTTTCACTCTTCCTTAAAACGGTTAAATATAACCGTCTCTTCTACTCTAATAGCTTCATGTCTTGCACTTCCCGTCTGTGGAACTCCCTTCCTCTTACTTGCTTCCCTGATAAGTATAATTTCCAACTACTCAAATGCAATGTCAATCGACATCTCCAGATGTCTAATTCCCCGTCCTTCTCTTCATCCTTTCCTTTTTCACGCCTCTTTACTTCTGTTCCCACTTTCTGTGACCTCTTGCATGCTAGTGGTACTTCCGACTTGCTTGGGGTGAAATACTTAAAAAAAAAAATTAACATTTACAGAATAGCACGATTTGATAAAAGAAATGGAAAAGAAAAGTCACAGTTTCTGTTTGACCTTTTCTTAAATGGAGCTCTTTTCTTAACTATTATTATTATTATTATTATTATTATTATTATTATTATTAATTAAGCCTCATTGAATTTTCACTTCAGTCATTCATTTTTATTATTCTCCCTTATTATCAATGCAGCCGTCTCTTCTACTCCAATAGCTTCATGTCTTGCACTTCCCGTCTCTGGAACTCCCATCCTCTTACTTGCTTCCCTGATAGCTATAATTCCCAACTATTCAAATGCAATGTCAATCGACATCTCCAGATGCCTTGATCTATTCCCCCGTCCTCCTCTTCATTCTTTCCCCCATCACGACTCTATACTTTTGCCCCACTCTCTGTAACCCCTCTGCGTGCTAGTGACACCTCAGCTTTGCTTGGGATGAAAAGCTTTAAAAAAAAAGGACGAGAGAAGATAGTAAGTTACATGACTAAAAATTGTATTGAATGACGTGGAAGAATATTATGAATTGAAGGAATTATAATTTGAATGAAGTTTTAAGGAATTATTATTTGAATGATGTTTTAAGAAATTATAATTATAATTATTCGTCGTTGATGACATGTACAATCAGCAGGATTATCACCCCCACCCTTTTGTAGAATCACATTTCTTTTGTCTCAAGTCCCTTCTTCAGCTGTAAGGAAATTGGTCGGCATTCGGCGTCATGTGAGAGGATAGATATTAGGTAGATAGAAGATGAGGATTCCTTTATTTTTGTTTTTGTTTCTCACGAAATGTTCTTGTTTCTTAATACTTTGTTTAGTTTCTGGAAGGCATCTTTTGTCATTCCAAAGCTGCCTACGGATTTCGGTGTTACATTGTCAGACTTATGTAAAACAAAAAAAAAATTTTTTTTCCATATATTAGGTTGGTGCAAAAATAATGACGTAATAATGTCGTTTTTTGATGTATTTTTTAACGTCAAAAAACGACATTATTACGTCATTATTTTTGCGCCAACCTAATATTTAAACTTCTTTATTTGCTTCATTTTGGCATCACCAAACATTCAACTTCGGTTGTTACTCTTGCTGCCAATCATAAAATCTTCTTGCAAAAAATAATGAGCAACCATTTTCTATCGCTTTCCTTTTAATACCTTGTCTGGGAGTTCCTTCAGTTCGAATGAAGGAATGATAATTAGTAAATTATTTAATGAGAGTTAAAATATCTGATGTCAGAGATGTGCTTTTATATAAAGGAAAGGGTATCAGTCGAGAATAGAACGTAGGAAAGTGGCGGACGTAACGAGAACAAATGAGTCAGGTCAGAGGTGTTGATGTCAAGAAGGGGACTTTTTAAAATTTGAAGCCAAGAAGGAGACCTTTCACAGAATTGAAGCCAAGAAGGGGACATTTCACAGAATTGAAGCCAAATAGACTTTTCAAAGATTTCAAGCCAAGAAAAAAAAACATTTCAGATATTTCGGTCAAAGAAGGAAACATTTAAAATATTTTAAGTCAAGGTTAGAATACAATGAATTGTAGCTGATATAATGGAATATGCGTACATCTGTGTTCCCCCTCACTGGAATATGATTGGCTGGTGTCCGTCATAAATGTTACGGTTTTTTGTGTATATTACATATAACTAGTGAGCGAGTCAGAATGACTTATTTCCCTTTATAGTCTACCAATAGAAGATTAACCAATCAGGAGCCGCACAACACTGTATCCGTCGTGTATAAAGGCGGCCATCTTTGTTTTTCCCACCGGAAGGACCAGAGGCAACTTGTCCGGCGAACACGACAGAAGGAAGAACTACACTCTGCTGTGATATCCACTGCGAACCTAAAGTACGCTTTCCTACTGTCTCCTAAATATTCACTGCCAGCCTCTGGATTCTATACTCGAGGACGACCGTCATGAAAATGTCTAACAATAAATACTGACGTAGGAGAGTCAAGAGCCTTAGTCTGAGAGCTTAGTCTATAACGACGCCCATTGGATTACGCCATTGATCTACACTTCTTACCTGCGACTACGATGCGTACCAGTCGATTACTGCTACCGTATTCTACTTGGTTATAGTAGCCAAAACCACTTGGCTACTTCGTTCAAATATAGCCCTTTCCGGGACATATCACTATCTATCTATCTATCTATCTATCTATCTATCTATCTATCTTAGGGTTTTCTCTATCTATTTTAGTTCTTTTTTTCTTTATTTATCTCTCTTTCTATCTATCTATTTTAGGGTTTTATCTATCTATCGGATATAATGGAATATGCGTACACCTGTGTTCCCCTTCACTGGAATATGATTGACTGGTGTCCGTCATAAATACCGACGGACGTGTAGGTACGACAGAGGCAAGAGAGCCATATTCTGAGAGTTAAGTCTATAACGACGGCCATTGGACTACGCTATTGATCTACACTTCTTACCTGCGACTACGACACGTACCAGTCGATTACTGCTACCGTATTTTACTTGGTTATAGTAGCCAAAACCACTTAGCTACTTTGTTCAAATATATCCCTTTCCGGGACATATCAGTAGCCAAAGAGACATTTTCACTGATTTGAAGTCAAAAAGAGGATATCTCAAAAAATTGAAGCCAAATAGACTTTTCAAAGATTTCAAGCCAAGAAGGGGACAATTCAAAGATCTGAAACAACGATTTTCACAGATTTTAAATCAAAAAGTTGACTTTTCAAAGATTTGAAGTCAAGAAGAAGACCTTTCAGATACTTGAATCCAATAACATTTCTATGTATCAAAAAAAATTACCTTAAGAATTAGACCTTATAAATCATGTTTCTAGTGTTCTTCATTTGTTATTCTTTTTTGATGGATCATCGCTCGTTATTGCCTATAGCCATTAACTGGTTGCGGAATGGGAGAAGAGTTGAAATTTCATGCTCGCCATCTAAATGATCTTTCCCCCGCCATTTTTTCAAACCATTCTCTGCATGGTATATTGTTGTCATATATGGTCTGGAGCCCCAGATTTTCGTCTTAGGGCCCTCGACAAAATCCAGAGACGGATATGCAATGTGGTTAGCCCTGATCTGGCGTCTCGCTTACAGTCGCTCTCTCACAGACGTACCGTCGCCTCCCTCTGTCTTTTCTACAAATACTTTCACAGTAACTGCTCCGACGAGCTATTTTCGCTAGTTCACAAACTGCATAAATTTAAACGTGCCACTAGGTCGGCATCTCAATTCCACCTTTTTCACTGTCGAAACAGTTAAATGTAGCTGTCTCTTCTACTCCAATAGCTTCATGTCTCGCACTTCCCGTCTGTAGAACTCTCTTCCGTGATAGCTATCATCTCCAACTATTCAAATGCAATCGACATCTCCAGATGCATTTACCTATTCCCCTTCCTTCTCTTCATCCTTTCCTCTTTCAAGCCTCTTTACTCTTGCTCTCCCTCTTTGTAACCCTTGCGTGTTAGTGGCATTTCCGCCTTGCTTGGGGTGAAAAGCTTAAAAAGGGACTAGGTAAGATAGTATGTTACATGACTAAAAAATTGTATTGAATTGTAATGACGTGGAAGAATAGTTTCAATTGTAGGTATTATTATTTGAATGTTTCAATGAAGTGTTAAGGAACTACAATTTGAATGATATTTTAAGGAATTACAATTTGAATTACGCCTTATGGAATTATAATTTGAATTACGCCTTATGGAATTATAATTTGAATGGTGTCTTAAGGGATTGTGACATGAATGATGTTTTAAGGAATTTATAACTTGATTGATGACTGTCTATATTTCTGAGATGAGGTATTATGTACACTGTTTACATTATTTGGACTCTTGTCCTCGGAACCTACTTTCTTGGCATACAAAAAAAATTTGTTGGGGATTTGCCTCCAGCTGTGCTGGTCAAACTCTCTGCCTCCGGGCAGAGAGGATCCCCAGACGAGGCTACGTCGAAGGGCAGAGTCTTGTCTCGGGAAACAGCTACTCAACCCCGTTTTATACGGGGTATACGGGGAATTTTTGGCCTAGCCTACGGGCTCGGATGCCTTACATTAAATTCGGCCTTGTGCCACATCTGATCACATGGGACGGTTGGTAGATATCCTAGATTTGGAGATTCATTGTGGAATTCATTTGACTCACTTCTAGCAGTTGACTAGTTCTTCTACGCGCAGCTGGCGAATCTTATATGTGTTGTTCTTGTCCTAAGTATTATCGTTCATTACCAACCTTCGTTCGATTATTCTATTCAACAACCTTCCCGAGGCTACAACAATTTTTGACTTACTCTCGTACATTATCATCTAAATACCACATAGACAAACTAGAATGATTATACACTTACATACTTAAAGCAATATTTACGATTTTTCAGTTAGGCGTGGGATCTGTTCATTTCTTGGAGCTTCGAAAGGACGTTTCGTCTCTTCTATAAAATAAAATATAAATATGGTGACTGAACAAAAAATATAAAATAACAAAAATTATTAAATATGTATGCATATTAATTTACTGTTATCCACTTATATTATTTTCCCTTTATGTGCTATATCGCTTCAGTATGTCGACAATCATGGCTCTCCACAACATCCTTTTCTTTGAAGTTCTAAGCAATGCTTGTCTCTTTACCAATGCTTTTTATCATCCATTCATCCAAAACTCATTAACTAGTTTACTTCCGTCCCGTTTTGTTTTCAGTATGTTCTGTAAGTGTTAAATTTTCCAAACCCTCTTTCCTCATAATGTATACCAGGAATTGTAAATGTCGCTTTTCTGGTTTTGTGTCGTTTTCGTTCCCATCTTCTTTAAAATCTTCGTTGTCGCTCATATGTTCAGACCATGGTACAGTCGGTACCAGTATGTAGAATCAGTCGGCACCCGTATGTAGAATCAGTCGGCAAGCGTATGTAGAATCTGTTACAGTTTTTTGAATATATTTATGTACTAGTGAGCCAACCAAAATGAGCTGACTCATTTTATAGTCCACCAAGAAAAGGGTTAACCAATCAGAAAGCTCAAAATATTCAATGCGACGTGTATAAAGGCAGCCATTTTGTTTTTTCTCCCAAAATATCTTCACTGCCAACCTCTGATATCGAAGACATTATGGACTTCACTGGATTCCATATTCAGAGACTACGGCAAACATGGTCAACAGAATCAGTCGGCATCTGTTTGTAGAACCAGATCTCTGTCGCTTCAAGTCTCTTCTTCATCTGTCAGGATTCATCACCCAGCATTCATTGATGTATAGGACACATAAATTCAGCATTATTTTTGTTCTTTCAAATTTCTTAATACTTTGCTTGGTTTCTGAAAAACCTCTTTCGTTATTCCGATATATCTTCGTAACTCTGTGTTGTACTTTTCTTCGTCTATTATTGCATCACACAAATATTTAAATTTTCGTACTGGCATGTCTCTAATTCCTAGATGACTCATTATGTCTTTCTTGCTGATGGCCATACATTGTCTTCTTACAATTAATAGTTAGTCCTTTCTTCCTGCTTTTCTTAACTATATTGTCTAGGAGTGATTTTAGTTTTCCCTGCGGGTCTGCCATCAAAGCAGTGTTATATGTGCAACTACTGTTAAGTTTATCTCGATAAAGAATAAATTCCGTTAGTTTTTCTTGTTCGCTTCATATTGGCTCTACGTATACGTTAAACAAAAAACGGGAGAGAAAACAACCTTAGGTTTTCTTTTTTTCTTTCTTTCTTTCTTTCTTTCTTTCTTTCTTTCTATCTATCTATCCTTATCTTTTCATATCTATCTATCTATCTATCTATTCTCATCTTTTCATATCTATCTATCTATCTATCTATTTTCATTATCTATCTATCTATCTATCTATCTATCTATCTATCTATCTATCTATCTATTCTCATCTTTTCATATCTATCTATCTATCTATTTTCATTATTGCATTATCTATCTATCTATCTATCTATCTATCTATCTATCTATTCTCATCTTTTCATATCTATCTATCTATCTATTTTCATTATTGCATTATCTATCTATCTATCTATCTATCTATCTATTCTCATCTTTTCATATCTATCTATCTATCTATCTATTTTCATTATTGCATTATCTATCTATCTATCTATCTATCTATCTATTCTCATCTTTTTATATTTATCTATCTATCTATCTATCTATCTATTTTCATTATTGCATTATCTATCTATCTATCTATCTATCTATCCTCATCTTTTCATATCTATCTATCTATCTATCTATTTTCATTATTGCATTATCTATCTATCTATCTATCTATCTATCTATCTATCTATCTATCTATTCTCATCTTTTCATATCTATCTATCTATCTATCTATCTATCTATCTATCTATTTTCATTATTGCATTATCTATCTATCTATCTATCTATCTATCTATCTATCTATCTATCCTCATCTTTTCATATCTATCTATCTATCTATCTATCTATCCATTTTCATTATTGCATTATCTATCTATCTATCTATCTATCTATCTATTTTCATTATTGCATTATCTATCTATCTATCTATCTATCTATCTATCTATCTATCTATCTATTTTCATTATTGCATTATCTATCTATCTATCTATCTATCTATCTATCTATCTATCTGGAAAACCCACGCCGAATCAATCACAAAAATGTTACATTAATAAATATAGATAGATTCAGGGGAGAAAACTGTCTAGTATGACACAGTGAACCCACTTTCCTAGTAGGAGACCTAGCAGTTGATCCTATATAATCTTTCTACTTCATGTCAGCCGAGAACATTAGCCTTATTATTATCATTCTTATTACTACCCTCCAGAGTTGTCCTTCTCCTAGATCAGTTGCCCTCCAAGGTTATAGAACCCAGTCTGTCCTGCTATTTACCCATAGCTGAAGGGAGAAGAGGATTCATACCTTTCCCAAGCACGTAAGTGAATGTAATGGATTCGACTGGAATTCGAACTCGGCTCTGCGATTTCTCAATCCGAGCCACTATCCATTACTCCACCGTAGAAAAAAAGTTAAAAGGGAACTTGGAGATCGCCATCGTTTTCTAAAGAGTCTTGATGCTTGATGACATCGGTATGGCCCGAGGCAGAGGTCCGACTAGAGTTTTATCTTTGATTCTAACGTCGCAGAAGTATTCTACACTAAATTATGGCGCCAGTTGATATCTTGAATTGTCCCTAAGCATGAAGAGGTGCCTTAGAATTCTCGTTTCCAATTTATTGGGCCTTGAAGATTTCGCTTCACATTTCATTTTCTTTGTTTGCTTCTTCCGCTCCCTGTTTGTAATCTTTCATTCGATCATAATTCTTTTTTGCCATCTTTCTTTTTTCTTTCTTTCTTTCTTTTCTTTGATTTGAAATTTCCTCCTCGTGTGTTTATCTTTGTATTCGTTTTAACATAAATAGAATGGTTTGACCGAAAATATTTACTATAAATAAATAAATAAATAAATAGACACAAAGAAGAATATGAAATACCCGACTCCTATGAACAGGCCTTAAATTTACAATCTAACAACGAAAGAGTGCTGAAAAGTTTTCAGCTCGACCTATTTTTCGTAAGCAGTTTTTGTAATAACCAAACATCAGAACACTGATTTTGTGAGGTTTGTTGGGATGAGAACTTTTCAGCAACCCCGTGTTTTTTTCTTCCTTTTTTTTTCTTTGTTTCTCCATTTCTTTCTTTGTTTCTTTATTTTCTTCCCTTCTTCTATTTTCCATTTCATTTCTTTTTTATCTTGCTAGTTTTTCTTCAAAATTCAACCATTCTTTCTTTCTTCCTTTATTTATTCATGTATTTATATTTGCTTTTCTTCCCTTTCTTTCTTTCATTTTAATATTTTCTTCTTTTTCAACGCCTCGCCTTTATATATATATATATATATATATATATATATATATATATGCGTATGATGTGACTGATCGAATAAATTACAAACATTTTGACTGATTATTTTTACATAATCCTTTCATGTCTACGAATATTTTTCCTAATATTAAAATCATCCTGCCTCATTTGATTGTAATATAAGAAAAATATTCGTCAATATGAAAGGATTAAGTGATAAAAATACGTAGACATAATGTTTGTAATTTATTCAATCAGACATGCCTAAAAGAATTTTCTGCCTAGATACACACACACACACACATATATATATATATATATATATATATATATATATTATTGGTTAGAGATAAATTAGAACTGGAAACAGTTGTATGGTAGCGTAATTAGCTGAACACCTAGTTTTTGAATATTAAGTAATACATACAAACATACACACACACACACACACATATATATATATATATATATATATATATATATATATATATATATATATATATATATATATATCCTCTCCCTCCTCTTCTTCTGATCTTTAAGATTAGATCGTCTATTGTGTGTGTATGTCACCACAAAATGTATCCTTTCCGGTTACATCTTTACTGTATTAGACATCCGGCAACATTCATATTTCTCTCACTTAAACCGTCTTTGACTCACCTCTCTAAAACTTTTCTCTCTTAAGTTTTAATGAAAACTGTGTGTCGGGAAAATGTGTTGGGATAAAACAATCACTTTCTCGTCTTATCCTAAGAAATCCCAATGTATTTTCCTTCCACACAGTTTTGTCTTTCATTCCGACCTGAATAAGCCGAGAAGAACAGACGTCAACGAAAGGAGTAGTTAATAAGCCGTCCCACTTTACCTCAAATAGTGGCTCATACTGCTGTTAACGCAAATGAATTAAGCTCTCCGGGCCACTGGCGTATTTCGTATAGAAAAAACATTAAACTTTCGCTTTTACACATCCGTCCGACGATAGCTTAGGGGTAGAATCTCCGAGTGATACCAAATCGGTCGGGTTTCGATCGCAGCTTAAAGCCATCGGACGTCTAGCCACGCTGAAGAGCTGTGATACAACGAAATATACAGACGTCCGCGGATGTACATATTTTCTGTTTATATGTTATTTTTATAGATACAATTATTTAAGTAAATGCTCTGTTTATAATAAACAGTATTAATTACATTTACCGGCCTGAATTCTCAAGAAATTTTGTAGAAAATATGTGTCCTCCGACAGGAATCGAACCCGTGTCCTACACGGAACCATCATTTTATCTGACGTGCTATACCACTCAGCTACATAGGAAGCGTTTGGTTAGAAATGTCCAAGTTACTGTCTTTTTTGCTTATATATATACATATTCAACTTTGCTTTATATTTTCCTATATATTTATATATATATCGATATATATATATATATATTTATATATATATATATATATATATATATATATATATTTTCATATATATATATATATATATATATATATATATATATATATATATATATATATATATATATATTCCCATCTTTCTTTCCATCTTTCTACCCCCCATTTTCCCCTCTCTATCTTTCTCCACACCCCAACACTGTCTCTTTAAGAACTTATACACATTCCAATGCTATATCTTCGTAACTCATGTGACGCCAGTCTTTCTTTCTGATTAGGAAAAGTGCAACATCAGACTCGCCTACGATATTAATATTTATAAAGTTTGTCAAAGTTCCTTTCCAACGGAGTTAACTTTAACCTATCAGTTGAAAGGTCAACTCACACCTGCATTTGCCTTAGATTTTTCTATGTCGGCTGAAACGCTAAATTTCAGCTGAAATTACTTATATTCCTCCCTACTGATTCTGAGGAAAACAGGGGTACAGCCGTGTCGATAGGGGGCGGGGTGTAAAAACGAGGCAGAAACGCAGATTTTTGACTGATTACTTTTTCTTTCTTTCTTTCTTTTACACCAATTTTCCTCCTTTTTCTTTCTCTGATTTTCATTTTTCATCTTCCTTTCTTTATTTGTTTGTTAGTTTCTTTCTTTCTGCCTTTCTATTTTTTTACCTATTTTCCTCCTTTTTTTCTCTGTTTTTCATTTTTTTTCTCTTCCTTCCTTCCTTCTTTCCTTCCTTCCTCACCAATTTTCCTCCATTTTCTTTCTGTTTTTCATTTTTTCTTCTTTCTTTCTTTCTTTCTTATTCCGTTTTATCTCTTTCTTTCTTTCTTTCTTTCTTTCTTTCTTTCTTTCTTTCTTATTCCATGCACTCTTTTGCTCATATTTCATATTTTCTTTCTTTTCTTTCTTTCTTTCTTTCTTTCTTTCTTTCTTAACAATTGTCTTCCCCTTTCTTTCTCTGTTTTTCATTTTTTTTCTCTTCCTTCCTTCCTTCCTTCCTTCTTTCCTTCCTTCCTCACCAATTTTCCTCCATTTTCTTACTGTTTTTCATTTTTTCTTCTTTCTTTCTTTCTTTCTTTTCTTTTTTTCTTTCTTTCTTTCTTTCTTTCTTTCTTTCTTTCTTTCTTTCTTATTCCGTTTTATCTCTTTCTTTCTTTCTTTCTTTCTTTCTTTCTTTTTTCTTTTCTTATTCCATGCACTCTTTTGCTCATATTTCATATTTTCTTTCTTTCTTTCTTTCTTTCTTTCTTTCTTTCTTTCTTTCTTTCTTTCTTTCTTTCTTAACAATTGTCTTCCCTTTCTTTCTCTGTTTTTCATTTTTTCAATGCTCTCTTTCGTTCTTATTTCATATTTTCTCTTTCTTTCTTTCTTTCTTTCTTTCTTTCTTTCTTTCTTTCTTTCTTTCTTTCTCAACAATTGTCCTCCCCTTTCTCTGTTTTTCCTTTTGCTCTTACTCACTCTAGTTTTCTTTCTTTCTTTCTTTTTTCTTTCTTTCTTTCTTTCTTTCTTTCTTATTTCATATTTTTTCTTTCTTTCTTTCTTTCTTTCTTTCTTTTTCTTTCTTTCTTTCTTAACCATTCTTGCTCGTAAACAGAAGGATTAACCACCGAAGCAATCGCACCCCCCCCCGCCACGTGGGGCCTGTCCTACAGGCCAGCGTTGATAGGCGGTGCTCATCTTTCTAGATGTATGCCTCATTTAGGATGACCGAATAATCGTTAGAAGTGGAAGTCCTCCTTACAGCACTTAACAACTTGTCTTTAAAGATTGCGATAGCGAGAAGAAAGGGAAGATGCGTAGATAGCCAAGGAGAGAGAGAGAGAGAGAGAGAGAAAGGGAGAGAGATGAGAAGAAAATCATAGCCGCAGTCGAAGAAGAAAAAGAGAGAAAGAATGCGAAGAAGAGAAAAAGAAAAGAGAAATAAAATGGCAACTGAATAGAAAAAAAGGGAAAAGAAATCAATGAAAGCGAAAGAGAAAGGAAGGCGATGCACGGGCCAAAATGGAGGCCCGATAAACGAAAAAGAGATGAGAAAAGACCAAATTGAGAGACAAAAAATGGAGAGCAAAGAAACAATTGAAAAATCAATGCTCTTCAGATTCGATATTCAAAAGAGGGATGAAAAGAAAAAGAACAAAATTAATCTAACGTTAAAGAAAGCGGGAGGAAGAATGAAGTGTGTTAGAAGAAGTCAGAATTTATAAGTAAAATTGAGTATACGGAACCTTTAAAATTACTTTTAAGTTAATATTTAAGCATACAGAGAAAATAATCTAAGATATAACAATTCACTGAAGAGAATTTTGCGATAGAAATGCATTGAAATTATTTTTTATTAAAAGAATACCTTGGAAAGGATTTTCAATGCAATACATTGAATATGAAAATGGCGGGGTTTTTTTTATATTTTTATTTTAACATTGTAATGAATCGTAAAGAATTTAATATAAAAACGTATATTAAGTGATTTTACAATAGAAAGGTATTGTAAATAAGTTTTTAAATTGGAATGCATTAGCAAATGATTTTTAGTATTAGAAATGCATTGGAAAGGATTTTACTGTAGCATTGATTTTACTATAGGAAAGTATTTGAACAATTGTACTGCAGGAATGAATTGCAAATTACTATAGGAATGCATTGGAAATGATTTTACTAGAGGAATGAATTGCAAAGCATTGTGAATGACTACTAAAGGAATGCATTGGAAAGTATTTCACTAAAGGAATGAATTGCAAATGACTACTATAAAATGCATTGCAAAATGATTTTACAATAGGAATACATTGGAAATGATTTTACTATAGGAATGCATTGGAAATGATTTTACTATAGGAATACATCGAAAATGATTTTACTATAGGAATGCATTGGAAATGACTTTTCTATAGGAATGCATTGGAAATGATTTTACTATAGGTATACATCGAAAATGATTTTATAATAGGAATGCATTGCAAATGGCTTTAATATAGGAATGCATAGGAAATTAATTTACAATATGAATGCATTGGAAATTATTTTACTATCAGAGTACATTGCAAATGACTTTACTATAGTAATTATAGGAATATATTGGAAATAATTTTTACTTTTGGAGCCTATAATGTTTTTGCTACAGAAAGATTGAAAATAATTAAGAAATAGATTGCAGTTAGGATTTAAAGCAAGTTTCGTTGATAATATATATATATATATATATATATATATATATATATATATATATATAGATAGATAGATAGATTTAGTGAGTTAGACAAACCTACCTAGGTTTTGTTTAAACGGATCGTCAGGGAATTCCCTGACGATCCGTTTAGGTGAAACCCAGGTAGGTTTGTCTGGCTCACTAGGTGTATCTAGGTCTGTTTCTACGATTGTATTGAGCTCTTTTTGTTAGTTAGTTGTTTACTGTATCGGGTTTTTTTTCTTTGGGCTTCAGACCTGCATCTGTGCGATTTTTTTGTCGGCAGAAGTTCATGTTTGTAGCTCTTTCTTTTTTTTAAAAACCTTTTTTTCCCTCGAAATTGATTTGATTAACAAATCAAAAATTCGAGGGTTTTTCGAAAACGAGTCTAGTTATTTATATATATATATATATATATATATATATATATATATATATATATATATATATATATATATATATCAGCTTTATTAATATATGTCTGTGTGAATGTGTGCGCTTGTGTACATACGCGTGTGTTTGTTCTAGAGCTTGTGTGTATGATTGTGGATGTGTCTGTACCTTCAATCTTCATATATAATGCCCAAATGGAAGGGGTACCAGCTTGTGATTTTTGCACCGAAAACAGCACCAGCTTAATAATAGGATCGCCTATCGCCCGGTTCACTTTCCTCCTCGGTATTTTTAACAGGAGTAGAGGCGTATCACTTGTTACCTGTTTAGGATTGGTCAGACTGTTTTTACGGTTTATAAACCCTTTATGGTTAATTTCAAGCCGAAATGTTTTTTTTTAGAATAGCAATTATTTCAAATTCTAATCAGCTACAGCATCGTACATTATATGTGCACGTGGTCGAGTGATTAGAACGTTCGCTTTCTGACCATAAGACCCGGGTTCGAATCTCACCGTGGTCGATTTGTCAAGAGGATGACTGATGAAGGCGGTCCCAGCGTGCAGCACGATTGGAAAGTGGCTGAAAATCATACCATGGGTTGACCCAAGCCTTGGGAGTGAAACTGAGCAGGCGGAACTATTTGGGAGCCGTCGATGGTTGCGGGAGCACGAAGACAAGTCATCGTGACTGAGGTTTTGAGTGCACTGGCCTTGTTCAGAGTGTTGATCACACCAGATAATGCGCTCTCTCCCAGAAACCGTAACTAAGGTCTGCTGAGCATAATTGCAGTTATAAACTACAGGTTGGCTCTGTGTTTGTTGAACAAACACAAATGGCCCTGGGCAGGCATCAACAGGTCTTCGACAGGGACTAGTTAGCCGCCCTAGTAGACGGCCATCCTTATATATGTATAGCCTTCTATTAATATAGATCTACGAACGCTTTGCCTTGGAGCAGGTAGAGTGGAGATCAACGTGTTTCAGTGGACTCAGCAGTTTTCAATCTGCTAGTCTGAATCGTCTTCAAGAATAGAGAGCAAGATCTAAAAGGTCAG